CCAGAAGACGCTGAGCGAGATTTGGGAGTTGCGAATCCGGATCCTGTGGGGCCGCAGCTCATGGAGCCTCCATCTTTGACAGAGGAAGCATTCAAGCAGAAGTATTCCAGTTCGGCATCCACAAATGTCACGATCAATGTGGGTGGATGCAACCTGACAGCCACCCTGGTGGACAACAAGTTGTATTTCAGCACTGCCACGAAGATGAAGCTTTTGGGTGCATCCACCCCAAATGCAAAACCAGTCCTCCTCTACGCAGGAGGTAGCTGGATTTCAGAGGACAGCAAGGACTGGTGTTCAAACATATGTAGTTTTGTGAAAAGGCATATGTGTATATATATATATGTATAGTTATATATGGTTGTTGTATTCCCTTGCAGGCACGTGATTTCCTGAGCAAGGATGCCAACAAGGGCAAGGCAGTGGAATTCCGCCTGAGTTCCTGCGATGATCCAGCTTCTGAGTTGCAATGATGCTAGTTTTGGAATGGTTGGGGCTGCTTGTCAGTTTCCTTCATCAGCTTAGGTTGTCTTCGAAGAGCAAAGCCCCCAGGGCCTTGTGGACACAGGTCCATTCTCTTTGTATGAGCTCCTTATTTCTTTGGAGAAGCGGGGCCACTTGGACCAGACTTTGACTGGGCATTCCTATCAGCGACCACCAGCTGTGGCACGTGGAGAGCAGCGAGACACGTTCACTGTCTCTCATACTTCTCACTCAGTGTTCAAACCGAACAACGTGAACCAGAAGCAATTGAAGGGCTCAAACATCGCTGGCTACGTGGGGATGACCCGGCTTGAGGCCTCCTCCTACCTGTGCCTAGTTTGGCGAGCCTCGGGATGGTCTGGGATTGAGTTTTTTCATTTTGTTGCTGAAATGCTTGTGGTATTTTTTAATACTCAACTTTTTGAACTTTGGGATTCTGCTTCGAAGCTCTTTTCAACATGAGGTATGCGTCACTACATTCGGGAGAAAACCATTGGACCAGCGAAGCCGCTCTGGTTCCTCAAGGCTGATATGCAAATGGACGCGAAGACGTACTATGAGATGGCATAGCCTGCTGGTGAGTGAGGGGGGCCTTGAATGGGTTTTGAGATGAACTAGCAACATAGCAGGTTCACCACCGCATTCTGATTTTGCGACCCAAGTGACTGTCAAACGAGATGCAAAAGTGCGTCTGTCAGTTCAAAGCCTTGAGAATGTCAAAACATGTCAAATATGAACCGAGGATTGCACAAAACTATCATAAAACCCCACGGCAATGTGGCGTCATTTTTCCTCAAGCACGCTAACACTTGCTTTCTGAAGTTCTTGCCTTGTGAAGTTTTGTGGACGATGGCGAATCTAGTGGACTTGGAGTCGGACGATGTCACTGTTGCCAACCAGAAGGTCGTTGACAAACATGTGGGTGCTTCAGTGTCTTTGATGAGCTTTGAGCCCCAGTATCGTCTTCGCGCTACGCCGACATCATCTACTCAGTCAAACACATCCTCGGGCGCTACTTCAATGTGGAAAAGGCCAGCAGATGCTTCATCTTCAGGAAACAATTCTGCGCCAGATGCATTTCTTGCCTTTCAGCCCAGTTCGAGTGTGATGAAGTGTATGACCAAACCGGAAGCTTTGGTGACTGAGCCTGCAAAACAAAACGCAGCTTGCACATTTCCACAAATAGTGTTAGATTGCTATTGCTATCCCAATTTTAAGACTTGAACAGTAAGCCGACAAAATGCCCAAGGCGAAGACCATGGCTATGCCTGTGGAAACGGTTCCAGTTGCCAGGCCTTTGGCCAGGGCCCTGACATTTGACGACATGGACTTCGAGGGAGCAAAGCAGCCGTACCCTTTCTTTGAACATGACCAGGACAGCCAGTGGGATTACACTATGCATGGGCGAGGCCATGGATGCACACCGCCCAATGATGAGAGCAGGAAGTTGTTCTGTGACGACTACCCGGATCCTATGCAGTTTGACTCTCCTCCTGATCTTTTGGGCGACAAAGACAAGACCCTGGACAACTCTCTGATTGCGAGCGCTGTTTCTTTCACTGTTGAGATATGCAATATCTGATGATGTTCTTTGATTTGTTTACGTTTGTATCAGAGACAGGCTGTTCCAACATGTTTTTAAGGCTGACCAGAAGATGGAGAAATGCCAGGACCTTTCTTCTGGAGAACCTGCTTCATCGATTGATCTTGCCAAGGAACCCGAAGCTGAATCTCAGAAGGAGAAACCCAATCATGATTCTCCTGGTGACAAAGTTCCGCAACGAATGCGACGCCATGAGGATGCAAAGGGCCCAATTGGTCCAGATGCTCACGCTGATGAGGACATCATTTTGGATGATGATTGTTAAACATTTGTTGGAGATATATGTATAGTGTTTTATATTACTGCTTTGTCGGTGATCGTAAACATGCAGGAAACGGGGTCGTCTTGGTCTTCACGACGGATTATACCCCAGACACCACCCCGAACACAAAGGCCAAGATTATGGAAGAGCGAGCCCAACGCAAGAGGGAGACATCCAGACGTTGGCACAAAGAACATGAAAACAACAATGTTTCTGAGAGGAAACACGCATTTTGTATGTTTGTTGTATTTTGTTGATTCGATGTTTTTGCCAACCGTATCTGAGGCTGCCAAAAAGCAAAAAAATGAACATGCAGGAGTGTGGCAACACTTAGGATGATCAATGAAACTTGCATTTTTCCAGGGTTGTGGATGTTTAATGGTTCAATGCAAGCTACGTACTATCCCCTGTTCCGTGCTCTTTGTTCAGGTACGTAACTTTGTGAACCAGGGCGGATCTTTGTCGGATGCTCATAAAGAGTGGATGACCAGCACAGAGCGTGCAAACATTTTGGCTGGACGCAATGGTGTCCAGCTGTGATGTGCAATGGTGATGTGAAAACATCATTCTACATGACAAGCGCAGGGGAATGCGCATGAAGGGCAAACAGTTTCGAGTCAAAGAGAAAAGCAGAGCTGCAGAGTTGCGAGAAACAATGTTTGCAAGTAATCTGGTAGGAACCTTGTGTGTGTGTGTGTATGTGCAAAGTTCCACCATGTTCCACCTTTGAAACGTTTTGTTATTGCCTTTCCACTGCTGACCCCCCTAAATCACCTTTTCCTGCATGCAAACCAAAGACTACACAAAAACTACTTTACCCCAGTTAGGGACATGATTTTAAAAACGATGTGACATTATGAGTTGCGGCCATCGACTTCTGAGTTGTGGATTTGTGTTCGAGCTTCCGAGTTGCTATCAACTTCTGGTACATGTGTGTGCTAGAACTTCCGCGTTATGTTTATCCGCTTTTGTGCTCGTGTCGTCGGAACTTCCGAGTTACGGCTATCCGCTTGCGAGTTGCAGATGCCAAAATCTGATATACGCTCGCAGCTTCTAGGGGGTTCCCACCGTTTGAGCAGGGGAGTGGAGCAGGCCTGCAGAGCTCCACTTAACAAAACTCTCTGCAGTGTCCTGAGGATATCACTTGACATCTTGACAGCTGTTTGCCATGAACTGACAGCTGGTTACCATGAATTTAACTTGAGGATGGGTGCACTTCTGGGTGAAACCAAGGCCATGGAAGTTGCAGGATGGAATATCACCAGGTTGGCCACCCTGCGCAACGGTCCTCATGAACTGCTGGAAGTGGAAGGTGCAGGAAAAGGACGAGGATTTCGATGTGCAGACGAGTGCGCTTAAGGAGCTTGTCAAGCGAGCCCATGACAGAGTGCGAGCCCATGACAGAGTTGAGAATAGATACTGCAGTGGAGTGCCACACGTGGATCGCAGGAGCTCATGGACGTGCACATAGCGCACCAGAGGCAGGTCCGTCAAAGCATGTTTGAGGATCTGGTGGAAGGGCGAAAGTGGCATGCTGGCCTACGAGGTTGAGCAAGAAGCTGGACCTCATCGGGATTAACTGAGAGGAAAGGGAGCGCTGGGTCAACGAGCTCTGGGAGATAGTGAAGGCTGCGAGGCTGCCTGTAGCGCTGAGGGCAAGTGATGAGGCATTGATGATTAAAGTTGCAAAGGGTCGCAGGCCCAATACCCTGCGGAACCACGCGAAGACCTGGTAGAAGGCCAAAGTTGGCGAGTGTTTTCGTCAGCCGGGACTTCACTATGGGAACTTTGAAGTGTTGGGCGAAGAGGTGCCTGACAAAGCCTTGTACCACAAAGCGTGCAAGCAATGCTTTTACTTGGAACAGGCGGGAGCTCCAGACTACAGAGGGTATCCTGTGACACCACGGAGGTGGAGGTTGCACCGGTTGCAGAAGGAGCGAAGCTCCCGGAGGGCGCCGAGGGCACTCCCCCTAATCAAACCCAGCCGCTGGGCAGCAGTGAGCACCTCGTTGTTGCAGGCGACTACAGCCTGGAGGAACTCATACACACAGAAGTAGACATGTGCTTGGAAATTGAATTTTCTGGACACCGTGCTGTCTGGTTTTCCCATGCTGGCCAATTCCTGGAAGCCCACGGTAGGGAACATGGTTTGGAAGTACAACTTCTAGACGCTGCGCCGTCCAAGTTATAGGCATTCGACTTGGAATTACAAGGGGGCGCGTTGGTGCTGTCCCTTGGTGTGTATTTTTGTTTTTTGGCCACAAGACTTCATCAAATCGTTGCATTGATATTGTACAGAAAGAGTTGTTTTGAACAAAACCCATATTTTCGTTTTGCAACAAACGCACACATATGTTGTATACTATGTGGACAACAGATAAGTAAAACAAAAAAACACATATATATATATATATAAACACCGTTCAACAACACATATTGCTGCGCAACCACAGTATGATGATGTCACTGACAAATACATAGAGCCGTTTGCAATAAACAAGGTAGAAAACACCCATGAATTTTTGAAATTACATGATGCAATCAATGCAGGTCGTTTTCTAGGGGGACCACCAGACAGCCTCCACCCAGGGTTGCTTCGTCGCCCGTCCGCACAACGCCTACACCATCCTGGGACTTTTCCACCGGTCCAAGGCGAAGCACTGCACAGCAAAGGCCGTTCCACGGCGAATGAATTTTCCCTGTGTGGTGGCATCAAGCCCCTTGGCACGACTAGAACCGGCCAGTAGAACCGACGGGTCGAGCGGTGGTTTTTCACGCGTAAAGCACCGAACACGGACATCCATGTTGAAAGACTTCCAGGAGTGCAGGGCGTGAACATATTAATGTCACTCCACAAAGGTCTACCTTTTCGATGAAGCTCACAACATGATTTTGTTAAAAACATTCATAACATGCACCATGCTATAGTAAGCAACGATTTTTGTTCACTTAGAGTTCGGGCGCCATTCGACCCCACCAACCGACGGAAAGAACGGCTCGTCATGTTTAGCCGTTCCAGGTCGAGGTGCCTAAGGAGATTTGATACAGTAATCCCCTAAGGGTCCGAACGGACCCGACCTCTGCAAAGACTGCAAAGAGGGGTCGAGTTCACCTCCTTTTTCAACAGGCTGTTGGGGGCCCTTCAAGACAGCCTGCATGTTGATGAGGTCCGGATCTTTAGGGTCAAGGGATGTTTTTCTCGGAAAACCTCCCCAATGAGAGGGTTTGACCACTAGCATTTCCTTAGCAATCCTTCTTCCTTGGAATGGTGGACATCGTTTTTACTGTTCCCGGCCCCCTATGTAATTTGGCAAAGATGATCTCATGAGCATCCTTGAGCCGATCATATGTGTACCACCCATCATATCGGGTCCCAGTTCAGGTCTCAAAAAGACCTCTCTTGGATCTCTACGAAGGAAGAGGTTGAAAACGTTGAGAAGGAGGAACAGGTCTGAAGTGAGTGGTTGATAATGGTTGATATGATGTTTGTCTATGTTTGTTTATTTCTATGTTTGTGAGCATTGGAACTCCGGTCAAGACAGCTTCAGCTTCACCAGATCGTTGGATGGTGAGAAGGTGTTTGGGGTTGGTCTAAAGGGTCCAGTCTTACCTTCTGATGAGGTACTTACTTGGAGCCCTAGGGTATTGCAGGCTGCAAGCACCATTTTTTCAGCCGGGTTTTCACACTCATCAATTTGAGTTCCGCTGCGTGCTTTCCAGGTTGAACTTGGCCTTCTTCTATTGGCCTCAACGCCAGGCGGCAGGCAAGGCAATATTTGCAGTCGGCCAGATGTGCAGGTTCACATGTGTTTCGTGAGGGGAGCCGGGTGGGATGGGTGGGTCGTCAATTTGCATCGGTTTCTTTTGAAGCCAGAAGGATCCTCAAAGCTATATACACTCCCGAAAACTCACATAGACCCTGACAATGGTCCCATGGAAGACTATTTTCCTCTACCAACCAGGGGTTTTCAGGTTCCATATTAGTCTTCCAGGGGTAGGAGTAGTGATTCTCGAGAACAACAACTCCGTTATTGGCTGTTCAGCCCGCTGGTCGTTCGACGAAGCTGCAGTGGGATCATGGTTCGAACTTGGCTTTGCTTGGTTTGGGTGACCACTGGGTGCGAGTTGTAACGTTTGTTAGCCACACAAACGAAAGCCAGAAGGATCCTCAAACACCCCAAGAATCTGTGTTTTTGAGCCTAAGAAGCCGCTGAACACCTATCGCACGAATTCCAGCAAGCAAGGACTTGATCCATTTGCTGATAAGTTTGAGGTCCCGTTTATAAGGTTGCCTTGGTTTGGCCTATGGTGCTTGTCATCCTTACAAGAGAACATTTTACTCCGCACTGGGGACTGACGCCGGCGCGTCTTCCAGCCAGTGGTGTTCAAGCTTCTTGTTCCTAGCAGTAAGGCCAGGAGCCACTAGTAGCGTCCTTGCTACTAGTCGTAGCGATGCACCTTGTTACCAGTAGCTTCTTGTTCCTAAGGTTGTTTGTTTGAACTGTTCTTCAGTCCCTGCACTTGAAATCTCGACAGGCTTGGGGTTTCCATCAAGCATCCGACCACCGTCTTCCATCGGCAGGAGGTTTTGTGATTCAGCAAAATCCGTGTGCTGCGTTCAACAATTATAGAATTCCTTTAGGAACAGCTCGACGGAGCGCGACTGCGACTGTTGGAAATTCCTTTCTGTTGCAGGTTGGCTTTCGAAGACTGGAAGGTGCTTGACCTTCGACCAGAACGCTGATGGACGCATGAACCAAAATCCTGTCTCCGGGCGTGGGAGGGTGCAATGTTTGGGAGGTATCAAAAGTAATTAGATCGAAACTGATAGCATCGGGCAACCGCCCTTGAAGTGGTTTCGGAGTGAGCAGCTTTTTGCTCAAGACATGTCCTGAATGGAAACACAACCGCGGAAATTATATACATGAAAAACAGTGCCAAGTACCGGCCTATCAAAACCACTACCCGATTTGACAAATGCATGTGGGGTCTCCCCGCAATTACCGCTATATATGTGTTTAAACATCACTGCCTTCTTGAATTCCTATTCAGGTCGTTTATGTTTTTGTTGTTTGCATTAAACACACGCATGTGCACCCTTCCATGATGGCACGAAGCCACGCAAACGCCTTTCCACTGAGGCCTTGCAAACCGCGTAGCACAGCGACATCATCTTTGGACATGTTCAGTTGTTAGTACAATGAGGAGTTTGCAAGCGAAGAATATCGAAGAATCACTATTTTAAGAAAGGGTTGTGTAAAGGAAGACCTTTCGATCTCGAGGTGATTTCAGTTTACGACTTTACTAGGAAGTTCTATATCATGTTCCAAGCGGCGACTGTTCGGAAGCTCTTCCAAACGGTGTTCCATCTTCGCGGGCCCTATTGACCTAAAGAAAGATGCCGAGTGTTTTATTAGGGACAGGGGGAGGTGTGTTGTTTTGATATGATGTTTTGATAGGTGGAAGATATTATATATATATATATTGAAATGACCTTGTTGAAAGGCCAACTGATTTGGTGCCTGACAAGTCTGTGTTGTTTTCAATGTTGTTTTCCTTCCCCAAAAAAGGACATAACATCCTAATTGCAGCCAATCTGCTCACGGCCAAAAGAGTTCAAAACACCGTCAAACGACGGGCATCGAGGCACCCTTTGGACACCATACTTGACATACTTGTTGGTGTGGTTTGGCTGCTTGGGTGTGGAAGGAAAAGGTTCTCAATCAAATCAAAGTGATGCACATCCCAACTGCAGAGTGCTAGAGAGTGGAGACCTCACCAGTTTGGGGATGGAGAGAATAGATCTATATACTTGGTTGTTTTTTCAGAAGGTCAACTTTCTCATAATGCCCGAAGATGCAACCAGACACCCACTACGTCGCAGACACCTCAAGATCAAACAAGTCAAGACATGATTTTCCAGAAGAAAACACACATCTCATACACGTCTCATATCTTTGATTTGTGCCTTGTGAGAGCTAAGGAGCTAGGACTGCGGGTATCCATATTCTCCTTTTAACTGGGAACCGTTCGGAGTTACAGGGACTTAGCTAATAAACACATGATTCTTATACGTTGAGAAGGATTCACTCTAGAATTCGAAGCACCATTGACTTAATCAGTGAAACGGCCATGGTTTTACTCAGGCTTTTCGACTACACCACTGGTTACATCAGGTCAACCTTTCTTTTAATGGTAGAATGGTAGAACTGAAGGCCAGGGAGAGATAGGTTGGCTGTGGCGAACCAATCCGTGCCCACCCCATGCACCTAGGATGGGTACATGGCGATGCCGCGGTGAACGTGGTGGTGAAGACGCGGCTTCGGCTAAAGAACGGACGTGTTCCGAGGTGCTCCATGAGATCGAGGTCGGCCACGAAAACCTTCCAGGCATTTCAAATCCATCCCCAAAATCTTAAGTTCGTGACCTCTTTTAAAGAGTCTCTAAATGTTTGTGATATTTTGTAATTTTAATACCTAATATAGGTTACAGCCTAACTACGGTGACGACCGCACTCGATGACCGAACGAAGGGAACACATCGGAACACATCGGAGGACACCGATGTTGACTTGGGACGTCCTGGTCTTCCGCGTCGTCCACAGCGCGCGTCCACCGTCGAGGGCAGACCGTCGCTGGGAGTGGCTCCGAACGGCCGACAGGGATCCGTCTCTTCGCACTGAGCTCGGTACGACGTCACGACTGGACCCGAATGCCACCGGCAGTACTCGAACTGGAACACATCACCGAACCTGAGATCATACTGGATCCCGAATGCGCAAAAGAGCGAAACTTCCGGCAGAGCGAGTTTCGCGGCCGGGAGAACCCGAGGCTCTCAGACCAGGTGGATGGGCAACTGCAGGCGACAGGGCTTTTCCGGATCAGTGGATTTGCCCGGTGCCAGCAGGGTCCAGTCATACCGAACCTGAAGAGTTACGACTGGAGAGCTAGGTTTGGATTGTCCTCATTTTCGTAGATGTTCATATTTGTTGTACATCCCCAAGGCGTGGGAAGATTTGGTATTGGTAATTTGGTATGTACCCTATAGCCTATAGAACTCTATAGGATTCCGGGCCCGAAACCAACCAAATAGGTCTTTCAACATGGTTTTAAACTCAGCATGGTATATACTAAAACCATGTTTAAAACAAAAAATATTTTTGTTTAACCAACAAATAGTTGTTTTTTGTTTCCGTTCTTTATAGCCACATGTGTGGTCTCTTTAGTGCCGCTGTGCCGCAACCCTGATCCGGAACATGGCCCGATCGATCAAGCGCCGAAGACCGAATCGGTGGACGGTGGAGCTGGTGGACAAATCCGTCGGGTATGGACCAAGGTTTCTTCAAAGACCATGAAACACCAGGACCATGGAATCCCAGGGGTTGATAGAGGGAAGAGAATATGGTCCGGTCGCTTCACCACCAATATATAAGTCTATTTTACGTACCTGGCATCAAGCCCTCTATTCCCCAAAAGGACATGACTGTTTTGGTTCCGACCCAACTCCATCGCAGAGCAAGCATCTTGTTTTGCTCAAGGTGATTTGTTATTTCCCCTTCTGGAGAATATGTTCTATTTTTTCCAGTTCTATTTTTTTCTAGTTCCTTAAGCAAATCCCAAGCATTTTGTTTGGATCACTTGTGACATTGTCACTGTTGTTTGGATTGGTTGCCCATCGTCATGGATGATGTGATCATGGTGGCTTTTATGTCGACGTTGTCCGACATTCCAAGTTGCTCTTCTTTTTTTAGATGACGAACCTATCGACCTGATGGGGTTTGTCATGTTTTGTCCTGCTAGTGAGGAAAGACAAGAGACCCAGCTACACAGAGGGACCGACCTGCCATTTAGCTGAGTATATGGCAGTGGAGAATTGACTGAATATTGGCTTCAAGACCTCTCCCCATGTTTTCTTGATTCCTTAGTATTGGGTGAAGGACATGCCCTGACATGCCCCAATTTCATGATATTTTCAGGGTTTTGCGGCAGGGGCCTCAACAAAAACAACCAAGAATCTGGATGAATTGGAACATTCATGCAAAACCAGTCCGGGAAAGGAAGAAATCACCGCAAAAACTGCAGTCCGGGAGTTTCCAGCCAAAATGCAACTCAAAATCCGGATGGGCCCGGACCTCCACCACTCCAAACGCAAGACAGGCTTTGGACCCGGTTCCCAAACCCAAACTGTATTGCTTTCTGTCCCGGATTCTTAAACCAAAAAAGCGACTCGGTCGAAAAAGCCTCACCACGGTCGCTGCCGCAGCGCCGCAGCGGCGGCGGTCGCGCGCCGCAGCGCAGGTGAAAGAGAGCGAGCCTTATTTGGCGTCGCTGTGCGGTTCAGCGGTGCGCCACACAGGCACCGTCGCTCCTTCAGCGCCGACAGCGGTTGCGCCGTCGTTCGTGCGAGTGGAGCAGAGAGGAGCCGGGGGGGCCGACCTGCCATCTGTGTGGTTTGGGGGAAACTCGAATGGACTTCGTCTTATAAGTCGATCGTTATAGTGTTGTTTTGGGCTGTTTTGGGAGTTCGCATGCCCAGGATATGCCATGTACCATGTGATTAGCCGATGTTATAACTAGCTTTCTAAACTCATTCCTTCATTCCCTGCTCAGCACGGCCGGCTCGTCCGTCAACTCGCTTCAGGCTTCAATGCCTCGCTGGCAGCGCCGCATGGCCCCACGGAGCAGGAGGTGATCAGCACGGCCCGGACGCCACGGAGCGACGCGGAAGCCACCGGTGGTGGTAAAGCCGTGCGCGTTGGACGCGCAGTGACCATGGGAAGGGTGGTTTAGAGTTGGAGTCTTAAGGTACTAGGATAGTACCAGATAGTACAAGTTCAAGTACCAGTGTTTGTTCAGGTTCTACTTTGGTACCGAAAGGGTGGTTTATGGACACCCCCCTGCCCCCTTTACATCCTTTACATCCTTTGATTATACCCACACACACTCCCTGGGAGAGGATGTGCCGCCCCATTGACATCAGAAGCCGCCACTGGCCTGATCGGCAAATATGCCTGTCCATGGGAGTGTTTGGGATCTTCTAATCACCACCCCTCATGGTGCTTGGAAATGGCGACCGTTGTTTTTTGGGAGCACCACGTATTCACGTTTTGGTTCTTTTGCTGGGCGCTTCGCCTTCATCTACCGGGGATTGAATTTGGAATTCCGCGGGCTTCGGTGCCTCAAATTGCTGCTGACTCTCCTGATGGAAGTGGACAAACCCCTCTTGAAGAGCATCTTTCAAGGGGCCATTGTCCACTTCCAGGGTACTTCCTCGCGAGCTTTCGGGCTCCATGAAAAGACATGAAAAGACCACCAGGACCGGGATCCTTGAGATCTCAGGATGAGGTCACATAGTTAGGGCTGTAAAAGGTCATAGACTGAGACTCCAAATGTCCTGGTCACGACTTGAAGGTGCTGGCAAAGAGTCATCCTTTATTGGACCCCCAAAAGGGATGTGACAAGGAAAGGATTGGGCAGGAGAGTCATTGTGGCACCTAGATCGTCTACCATCACCGGACTCGAACTACGGGTCTCCGAAATGGATCCTGGCTGAAATGGTGACTTCAAAAGTGGAAGGTGGTGAGCTGTAGAGTCTGGTACTGGCACCCACACACCCCATGAGCCTCGAATACACAATTTCTATGTAACATAATTACTGTGTGTTTTATTTGCTATGTTGGATAAGTATTCTTTGGCGCACTCCCCCACCATCGGCTGAAGTCGGCGGATCTATAACCAACCATCCCTGGCCTGATCGGCAGTCCGCAGTCTCCATGAAGGGTACTGCCCTAAGAATCCAAGCCCTCAAATACACAGGGTTTGGTCCGGACCCCTGCATGAAACGGTGGAGGTCCGGTCCGACCCCTGCGGTGCCATGGAGGGCATCGGGCCTGGGGTGGTACATGTACCACGGCTGCGATGTTTGGATGCTCGAGTCGCAATGCTCTGCGCCAAGGCCGTTTATGCTGCCGGGCTCACAGGTGGGGCGGGTTCGTGCGGGCGAGGAACTCTAGTTCATCACTGACGTTCCAGAGGAAGGTCAATTTAGTTTCAGTGTCCACTGTCCAGAGCTGACCTCGCATTGCTCTAGTCGTTTCTAGTATGGATCCCCATGATCTTGAGGGTCGGCAGCGGGCATCCCAAGCTGATTGGGTTTATTGGGGCCCGGGCATCCCAAGTTCACCAACATGAAAGAAGCCCACGAGACGAGAGGAGGGGTAGCGTTTTCGCTTCATCTCTATCCAGTTGTCCAGCTCATGAAATACGTAGCATGACATGTTGTGTGTGTATATCCTGAGGGTATTTGACTGATATGAGGTAGCACCCAGACGCTCACATTGGAGGGATCGGACCCTCATATGTTGGGGACTGGGGTTTCTAGGCTTTGAGGGACTGCATCGGGCTATTTGGAGCATGTGGGCAGTCCCAATATGACATGTTGGCCCGACAGAGCTGTTTAATTCCCGGACTGGGTCAGTCTCCTGGCATGGGGAATATGTTATAAGTTATATTGTTTCCCAGCTCCACAGCTCTTCAGCGAATCCAAGAAAGAGCCAGGCTTAAGCCTGGAAAGCTTTTTCAAGGTTCTTCGGTGTGATTGATTGGTGTGGGACTAGTTGAGACTTACTGCAGATGAGGATCTATTATAGATGAGGATCTATCAATATCAGCATGATACAGCATGTAGCAAGCCACATAATGCAAGGTTCTGAATGGTTCTGATTCTGAATGAAGGAGACTAGGACCATCTAGGACCCCTTTTATCAGGCTTATGCAATGTTTGCCAACAGCACACTCCCTACTCAATCCAATCAAGCTAACTAGACTGATGCAGCCTACCGTACACCTGTATACTGGAGGGCTTGCATTCGAAAGGCACAGGCTGCATAGTCATGGAATATGAGATTGTAGCACCAGCCAAACATGACCCTCACCCACCCACTGTGAGTCAAAACCTTCCCCACCAAACCACGGTAGGCTGACCTCCCTTAGAGGAGTCGGTTCATGTTCAGGTCATCCAGAGTCCCCTTTTTTTTGACCCATCATCATTCCATCCATGTCTTCCTCCACGTTGGCATCTTCCCAAAAAGCAGCGCACCGAGAGCGAAAACACGAGAAAAGCAGCGAGACCGTTTTCCTACCCAGGAACAGTGGAGAACTTCTACCCTTTGACTCACTGACATGGAAGTGGACCACCAACTGTTTCGAATACTGGTCCACATGAGGGGCCTGTCATCCATTTCCAGTGAGTCAGAGTGTAACCTTGCGGATTCACGTTCTTTCCCCGCATAAATATCCCGCAAGAGACCCCAAACAGATCCAAACAGTGTGTCTATAGAGTCTAGAGGTCTACAGTCCAGAGGTGTAGAAACAGAGAGGCCTTGCCTTGACTACATTTAGTGGCCTAGAAAACCAAGTGCTCAAGGTCTAGAGATTCTAGAGCTTAAAAGGTCTGGAGATTAAAACGATCTAGAGGTCTTGAGAGCTGAGTTCTAGAGGTCTTGTGGCGTAGAGATCTAGAGGTCGAGGTCAGATCTAGCTCAGGGGTAGAAACCAGGTCTGAAGGTCTAGAGCTTGAGAGGTCTAGAGGTCTAGGGAGTAGCGCTGGTCTAGAGGCCCAGAAAAGGTAGGAGACCTCTAGGGACGCGGAGGTCTAGGGACGCAGAGGTCTTCTGAGGTCATCAGATCCCAAAACGATCGGTTTTTCGAGGTCTAGAAGTATAGGTCTAGAGTTGGGTCCGGTCCCAGTTCGGGGCCGTTCGGTCCGAGCCGTTGGGGCCAGCTTCGGTGTGGAGGCGTGGACATCGACGCCTGCGAGATGTATGGCATCGCCAATACCTTGGCGGACCCTGTGGAGGCCAGACCGGTGGCTTTGGGTCGACCGCCACCAGACACCTACACCGCGGGATGGCACTCAGAAAACCCAGGAAGTGATGGCTGGTGATTTCGTTCATACATTAGAACAGGGGACATGACCTTGGGGACAATAACAGGCGAGGAACTTTGTTTGAGATTCCAAGTGGATGGCAACCCCCTGTTTTTTAGATGAACACTTAACCTTCCAAGGGACCATGCAATTCACTTCCATGTTCAAAACGTACAAAGAACGGATTTAGGATTCCATCTATGTGGGGCTTTGGTGGTAGGAGCATGCGGTGTCGGAGCATGCGGTACGGTGGAAGGAGCACGTTCTGCTCTTTTTGTGAAAAAGGTGTTTGGCGACAGAGTAGAACGTGCTAGTACTAGCACGTGAAGGATCTTATCAATCAGTGAAGGATACAGAAGGAGCTAGTGTTACTCAGCAGCATAGAGATCCAATAGAGCATACAGTGAAGGATCTTATCAATCAACTAGCTAGTGTTGCAAGGGAGCGACGGTGCGGGTTACTGGAGTTATATATCCAAATTCCTAAACAGGGAGCCGTTCGGAGCTGGGAAATCCCCAACCCTTTGCTAGTCTATCAATTGAACGACATGATCTAGTCAGAGGTCCATGATGGAGAACATGATGGTGTTCTATCAGGCCTATTTTCTGGCAGGGAATTTGCGGACAGTTATCATCCACAGTTTGTGTCTAGGCCCCTCACACTCAGATTAGTGTATTTAGACATCCTTACTAGAACCTGGCTGATTTGTTCATTTTCGAGAAGTAAAATCAACAGTTCCTGTGAAGAGTAGATCATATATGATATATTAAATGTATAAATATATTATGGTAGAAATGCCAAGTGTAAACGAAATCCCGTTTGCATTATTCATTTCGATCTCTGGAATGCATTTGACATTCACCGCCAAAAGGTATTGCACCAACAGATCCATTTTTTGCCATCGCCGATTGATTCAGTTCATCTCAGTTCTAATGTAGACTGTTGATGATTGTTCAACCCCCAGGCGTGAAGAGGTTGTGAATTGTCCTGATTTTTTCACATGTTGTGTGTTTTTTATAATTACGCACGAGTATTTTATTAGGTGCTGGGCATGTTCATACTCTGTGGTGGTTTGGAACCTCCCCTTCACAATCCCAAGAAACACTCATGATGGCCTAAATTACTAAATCCAATGAACACCTCGTGCGTGCTCAACTGGCAGTTCCTTCTTGCTTGGCTCGATCCAAAATCTGAATCTCCTTTTGAAGAGATTACAACTGGCCCAGTCCAGCGACTTGCCGAAGGATGGACCCCTAAAGCATCCCAGACGGACTTTCTGTGGGCTGGACGCCCCCCAGCCTACGATCCAGGATCGAACACGGGACACCCAGGTCTAGGATGATCCAGGTAGATAAACATAGATAAACCACATCCCTTCACTTTGGACGAAAGGTTGGAACTTCGTTCCAGCAGTTGGTTCTTGTCCCATCTTTTTGCCCGTGCCGCTCAGGTGAACTCCCTGTGCCGTGCCCGGGCGCCCGGCGCGCTCTTGGCGCACCACGCGCGTGTTGCTCCTTGTATACAGCTGCAGCCTCCAGATGCAGCCATGTGTATGGATTATTGTGGATTTACATATACCATGATACAGTATAATATATAAGGTAGACCATGGTATATCCCACAACCTTGTGATCTTATATACCCCCTAATATATATATATATAAGTCCGAAGCTGCATTGATCCAGTGCTGCTCCTGTATAGGGATTTGTGTGACCATCATGGACACGCCATGTAGCATGATCTACTTTTTGCTCAGGAGGGAGTGATTCGAAGCCGAAAGTATCGATAGTCCCCATGAAGAAAAGGGAGGGAGTCCGTCGTGTTTAAGATTGCCCCGGAAACTAACGGGAAAGGCTGAGTGCAGACCGACTCCAGACTGGTCTCTTACATGGGTGTGCATTTTTTCTGGTTGTCAGACCGCCTGGCGCGGTCGGTCGGTCGTCCTATACTTCAAGCCCGAGGATTCGGGTCCGATGGTTGGACGTAGGAACCGAAGTGGTTCGCTGGTGTATATCACCTTTGACTGGGCCTGTCCACTGTTTTGCAAGCCTGTTGGCACGAAGAGCTGTTTCCAGTGGCATGGCTTCTTCCTCCTTTGGAAGAACAACTGGCTGGCCTGGCTACCAGCCTGGAAAGGCAAGATGATGAGTAATGGTTGGGAGAGGTGGCGCCACGAAGAGCTGTGGCATCAAGTGACTGGTGGACAAGTGGATGGAGTGACTGGTCTACTGCAGCTGAGCACCTGAAACTGTGGCACCTGTGAGCAGAAGTTGGAGATAGTGGTGGATGCTACATCGTGAAACGTATTTGTGTGCCGGCGAGGCTCATGTTGGCTCACCGTACAGTGTGGCGGGCAATCGGATGCCATCACTCGGTGGTCATTCACTGCAAGTCCGGCTTCCACAGCGCACCACAGTTCTTGACGTCGCTCAAGTGTGTGTGCCTGCCACCGGGCAGCCACCCACGCCTGCCAAAGGGCTAAGGCCGAGCACCCACCCAACCCGCTGCAGCGCAGCCCACAGCCATTCTTTGCCGTCTTCCCGTCAGCCAACCTCTCACCATTCACAACGAAGCCCAAACAGAGCTCCCCCAACTGCAAGAATACCTGGGCGACCACGTGGTCCTACACCACGCAGACCATGAACTCCACCAACTTCAACAATACTTCCACGGCGCCCTGGCTACCTGGCAGTCACCAGAGCTCTTCAAACCTATGCCACACCTAACTCCAAACAATCTCTCAGAACACCTCTTAGCAACCATACCAGCCACCTTGCGCACCCGATACAAGTGGCGCTTCCACAAAGCTTTCACCATCCCGTACAGAATTGTCCACCTCAAAGAGTGGCATAAGGGGCGCACCATCATATCCCATTACCACTCCCTGGCAGGCAATCTTTTGCGAGTCACCAGTCGAGCTCTCGACGCCATGCTTCAACACCTCTACCCCCAACATCCTGGCCAACTTTCCATACCACAGCTCTGGAACCACCTCCATCAATACATTGCCAACCTTCCACCTGACATCACCCTATATGCCAGATGACGACCTAGTCGGCTTTTTCAACTCAGTACCACAACACCGCCTGATTGATGCGGTCTACAGCCTGGTCAACCACTGGCGACAACAACATCCAACTGAAGCCCTCACTTTGGACTTCAGAGCCACAGGCAATCCTTTTCACCACTCTCACATGGGACGGCATCACCGCCACCCCACGCAACGCACCCTCCACAGTATTGACATCACAACCATTGTGTCCTTCGCTCTGGACACCTGCATTTTCCGGGCCTGCAGCCACACATACAATCAAATACGTGGAGCTGGGATTGGATCCCAACTGTCACAGGCCCTTCGTAACGTCGCCGTCACACTTATTGAGCAATGCTTGGCACCAACTACACAACAACCTCCTCAACCATACTCACCTCCATTTCAATTACTACCGCTACGTGGTGGACAACCGTTTCATCACCCACAACGAACACGTTCTACATCACCCCGCCATCCAAACCCTCATCCACCCGGATTTCTTCGGGGACCCCGCGGAGCTAGAACCCGTTGACGACTACCACCTTCTCGGGTTCAACATCGACCTAACCTCCCGCACCATCACCTACATCGAACCTTCCCAGCGATGGAAAATCCGGGTGCTACCTCTGCCGGCAGCAAGCGTTGTGCCTTTACGGCCTAGCATCCAGAACCCATACCATTCGCAATACACCTATACCCTCGATCCACAGCAACCACAGCCATCCACCACCCCATCGACCTCTACGTGGCCAAGGGGCACCCGGCAGCTGCCTGCCGACGGAGAGCGGAAAATGTCTTTTGTAAGTGCGCGCCGCAATGCGGCGCTCTGTGTGTGTCCCAAAGGGTCCCACTCGTTTCTAACAAGGGCGTGCACCATCCGTGATCTACTGCACGCAACGAAGCTATGATCACAGATGGGAAGGGATCGAGGACGCTCGATCCTGTACCTGCCGACGAACACTTTCACTCCACTGGTCCACCATTCCGCTGTGTTTTTGCTTCCACGGTGGTTCATGTTCCCTTCCACAACAGCCGCTGAAGCGCTTCCTCGTCACACCGCTTGCCCGCAGCCGCCCGATCAGTTTTTGAAACAATACCTGTTGCCGACTCTTCACCATACGGTTCCATCAAGTCAAGTGCCTTGCATTCTTGGAATACCACTCGGATGAACTCTCTATCGAAGTGCGTTCTTTGTTGAATGATTTTTTGTCTATTTGTTTTAAGATTGTAGGCATTTATGACAGATCAGGGTCTCAAGGATCTAGGCTAGATCTAAAATCCGTTTTCTCAGGGTATCAGCCGTATCAGCTGCCTAGTAGCCTATTGTATGTTTTCGTTCAGTGCGGAAACACAACTGCAAATAATGCGGCCAAATATGAGCAAGTTGAGACCCAAACAGCGCCATGGACCCTCAAACTGCTACATGTTTGAGGTCCAAAACCGTAGTTGTGAGGGTCAAAACCCTAGCTATGAGGGTCCAATGAGCCTTTGGGAAATATTTCTAGTTTCAACCTTTGAATTAGTGATGCCCTTTTTGGTTTTCGTTGAAACCACATGGACCAACCATATTAGCCCTGGATGTCCGATCCTTGAGCTTGAGGTCTTGCGATTAGCCGATGACGACGATGCTCCCCTTTTGCTGCGGGTGCGGTGTCGCTTCCGATTGAAACGACAGAGCCGGCAGAACCGGTCGACGGCGCATGCACGGCGGCTGTGTCCACAGTGCCCTAGGATTCAAACTGATTTTGTGGGTCCAATCCAGAACAACCAAGCTGTATACTGTAAGCCCGGGGCCCCACATGGCCCATCCAAGACCTTTTTGTTTAAAGCAAAAAGACATGGTTTGTGTGTGTGAAAACCTTTGTTTTTACTGGTTTTGAGGGCCCCTGTAAAATGTTAGACTACAACAGCACGTGAAGCAACATGTTTTCATGGTCGAACGGAAGGCTAGAAAGTGCCCATGGTCGTGCCTTCAACGGTCCGAAAGTAAACCTATCAACGGGCAGAGGGAGAACGCCATGCTTCGCATGTTTGAAAGGGTCAATCCTGCAGCTTTTTCACCTCAATCCTCATGTCCCAGACCCAAAGACCAGCAAGTAGGGACACCGGGATATGATTGTCAAAAGGAATCTATAGTCGGAATGGCCTCCAACCTAGTAGCGATGGCCTCTACCTTAGTAGTAGTGATGGCCTCCAACCTAGAAGCAGAAGGAAACTATAAACTAGATATTATAAATACTAGTGTATTGTCCAAACAATGAAAGGGCAGGGAGTCATCGCACTATACATTGTAATACTCTCTTAGGTACCAAGGATTACTAAGGTACCTACGACATCATGTTTGAAATTGTTTGAATCTCTTTGTTTGGGAAACAAATCAGGACTGAGGAGGTCCTACCCGTGGACCTCTCCATCCCTGTCAGCTCCTCTGCCAGGCCTCGAAGACGGGCATCGGCAACGCCATGCACTCGGGCTCGGCGGTGAGTCGTTTGGCAGCATTTCCGAGCAAGGAAAGGGCCGGTGAGCTCGGCTGAGCCAATCGTTTTTCACAACCAAATAGCTGGCGGCTGGCGTATTGAATGACAGTCCGGATCCAAGTACCTCCTAGTATGTGGATCCGGGAGTGTATAGATGGGATTTACAGTGGTCTTGGGGAACATATTTGTTTTAAGAAGCAAAAACGGAGTCTACAGTTTTTGGGCCGAGGTCCTGAATCACGGGAACGGAGGGACAAAGTTCACGGAATCATGGGGCCAACGTGGGTGATCAAGGGGCCCCCGGAAGGAAGACCATGTATTCCTCTAGTACACAGATGCTGCCATCCACTTCCATGATGGTTCATCAATTCCTCATTCATCAACGGTGTCTGTACCCAACCCATTCGGTGGTCAGTGAAGCTATAGACATCCAAATAGTTGGAACCCAACAAGGGCTTTCTGGAGATCCTTTAGCAACTGGTTGGGGACCCTGGACACATCCAGTAACAGGTTCTAGTTGACCCACACCCGAAGGCCCCGAAGGTCGAACTGCAATCGCGGAGGCGGTCAGTTGATCACCCGCTGCGGTCGGCTATACAAGCATGAGAATCTCCAGGCCTCGACCGGCCACATCCTGCAAAGACGACCAACCCTATGGATCCACATACCTGTTTAGAAGGTATGACTGGGCCCTTTCTTCACCGTGCCTCAGGTTCGGTAATGTGGATCCATATAGGGCAAGAGAGGTTGAGGCCTGAACTGAGACCCTATATAACATCCTCCCAGGTCTCCTCCGTCGTTCGGGGGCGCCCTCGGGCCTCATACGGCTGGAAATACCCTGTTCAATGAACCAAGCCCTGTTTGTATGGATTCACCCAGACACTCCATGTATGCCATATATGCTGATGAGTTTGGGTGGTTTTGGGGGGTCAATGTAGGCATATGGCAGTTCCAGTTTAGGCGGTCGCGTTTGGGATGGGTCGCGCCGGTCGAGCAAGTCGGATGCTGCTGTTCATGGTACATGTGGGATGGGCACGGATCGAGAGCCCTCTGGAGTGCTCAACGTCGTTTGAGCCGACTTGGTGGGCCCAGATGGTGCGGCCTGCGGCTCTAAGCACCAGTCAGCTAAGAATCCGCGCTCGAAACCAACAGATAGCCTTTTTCAGGCCCCAGACCCCCGCCAAGAGGGAGAAGGTCCGAGCCCTGCAATGGACCTGGACAGTCCAAGGAGTCTTAGGGTAGGTTTGACTTCTGACCATGCACAAAACAACTCAGTTCTGACTCCAAAACCGACAAATTTCAAAGGGTTTAGATGCGCAGGGTACATGTCATTGTGTTTTACTTTGTTCCGGGCTGGAAATTCCAAGGTAGTCACCTCCACATGCCCCCGGATGGGACGAAACTGACCCAACTCCATGTGACTCCTGGTACTCACTCATACTGTATATGTTTCGTGAGTTGAACCAGTTTACCACCAACCAGGGGCCCCCTTGGGCCCTCCAAAAAAAACAGTTTTTGGCGAAGGGACAAACCCAGGCTTGGGATGGGCCATGTGGGGCCCCTGGAAGCGACCCTAAACCCTAAGCACTCCCAGGTTTGATGCAAGCGATCCTGACTTCGGCCACTTGGCGGTCGAGTTCGTCGAGTTCGTCGAGAGTCGCACCGGCGTCGCACGCAGTAATCCATGAAATACTGGAGAAGGTCAAGGAGGTCAGTTGGGCCAGGTGATTTTAAAGTGTCTTTGGGCTTGTAGGGCCTAGTTCCCAACCACCTGCTAGTTTTTCAAAGGATCTCAAGAAAACCCAATCATTAAGACTGTTGCATTATTTGTCTAATTTTTCCAGGGGTCCTGTGGGTTCATGGAATATTTTTTTCAGAATAAGTTCTTGGAATAATAAACTTAGGCAGGGGTAGGTCAAGGGTCCCTTGGAATAAGTTTCAACAAAACCTATAACTAGAGGTATATGTATACAATGAATTGATGTGAATTGTCAGAAAACATTGATTGGTCATGATTGGTCGACGCTGCCTCGAAGCTCTTTTAGCAGGGGAATGCAAAAGGAGCACAGTGAAAACATAGCAGATGAATAGCACTAGGTAGAATGATGTAGATTGAGGAGGGCATCAGAGAGACCGGCTTGAGCCACGACCGGCTCTTTCGGGGATCATGGCTCCTGTGTCTGCCCCGTTGAACTCACTATGCTCCCCGGGGAACATGCTGAGCTGACTTCACCTTGCAAGAGAGAGAGAGAGAGACTGAAGAGATATGTAAAGGTAACACCTGATCACATGCGGCCTCGCAGGGGTTCTGTGGCAACTAAAGCACTCCCGGAATAATTTTCAGAAAGCCATGTCGAGGGTAGTCAGAATAACTTCTAAATTATTCCTGAGGGGGTTTGAGAGGAGAGGGGGGGCTACTAAATAATCCCACATCATTCAGGCTTCCCAGGCAATAGCCGGCAGTCTTGACAGCAGGGGTTTGTGACCCCGCCGTGTGAACGGCCCTGTGGTTGTCGTGTCGGTCTTGGACTTCTTGGGGATCCCTTGGAGTCCTTGGCCACATGGTATTGCGGAGCTTTCGGCCAAGCGGCGCCTCGAGGCACTCGCGGCACCCCTTCAGGAAGGCGGCGTCGTGCTTGCCCTCCACATGGCCCTAGTGGATCCCTCTTCGGATGGCTCCTTTCTTGGGCGCATTGACAGAGGCCAGCTGAGAGTTGCAATTTCATTGGCAAGGCTCTACTACGGCTTGTTCAAGGCCAACAGGGAGCTTGCTGCAAGATTGTGCGCAGGGCAAGTTGAGAACCCGATGCCAGCGGCATATGCGCCAAGACAAGTCTTGCGACGGGCTTATAACGAATGCAGTCACTGCCTTGCAGCGTGCTCATGACCTCTCCGTCTATACCCGACCCCGCATTCTGCGGAAGGGTACGGACCGCAAGGAGATAAGAGCACAGCCCTTTGAATGCCTGGAGCGCTGGGTAGAGCAGGCGGCCTCGATGCCCTTCCAATAGATGCTGCCGCAATACCGGACCGCCGTCAGGTACCAGCGAGACGTATCTAAAAGCATGATAGTCAAAGCTGCTACCGAGGACGAACGCCGGGCGCAGAAACAGGCAGCCGAGGAAAAGGCAGTGCAGGCATGGGTGAGTGATTGGCCGCAAATGCCGACGGACAGGGTGGTGGACCAGGACGGCCGTGTGCACTAAGTGTCCAACGAGCCCTTGAGTTCTGACGCAGACTATGGGTTTTAGCCGAGTCAAGACACCGAACGGTGCTGTTGCAGCAGCTGCAACGCCAGCGGATTCCACTCGACTCCGGAGTGGCGAGAACAGTTGCGGACGACGGTGCTGCGATTGTTGGAGCTGTACCGTACCGGGCACAGGACTGCCAGGCTTACTTTGAACAGTTTTTAGTTCACATGGGCCGCTCTGCCAAAGATCTGTGCGATCCCGGCGACAAAGTATCTATTTCCAAGCCTTGCAGCTGTGCGCTCCCCGTTGGTTGCGGGAATCGGGGTTCGGACTCGATCTTGCGGCGGACATGCTTGTGGGCCTGTTCGGGGCGGGCGGCCCGCCTGGGTCAGCTAGACCATGGAGTGTGCAAGTCAAACCTGCGGTGTGCAATTTTGTGACCTGCGCCAGAGCGTGGGTCGCCAGAATTCTCCGCTGGCGCGGCTGAACGCTTGCTGCGGAGCTGGAATGCTGCCCTAACAAGACGTTGGTGTGGCCAAAAAGTTGCGTGCACATTTTCATATACGCAAGAACGTGTATATATATATATATACACATGTGCACGTACGTAAACTTGCAAGTAAAGGATATTTATTTAAACCTATATAAAATATGTCTAGATATGAAAATGTCTTGTGAAAACGAGAAGTTAGGCACAGTTGGCGTATCAACTTGTTGAAGGATACAAGGATACGGTTAATAAGTCATTAAGTCACACGCCTGTTTTAGACATGCAGGGTGCAAGTCTGCGACAAAAAACGTTGTTTTCCAACATGTGGCGTGGACACATGAAAAGTATAGTATGCTTTTACAAACGTGTTGTAAGTAGGCTAATTTGCACTTAGCGGACTTTAGTATAAGCAACTTATAAGTACACTTACAAGTAAGTAGCCTCCTCGTAGCTAGGGTTTTCACCCTCCCAACTAGGGTTTTGGACCTCAAACATGTAGCAGTTTGAGGGTCAATGAGCGTCTGGGTAGAATTTGAACTATAGATTTTAATTCGGAACGATTGGACCACCTTTCTCGACATACTGGTCGGTCGAGTGCAAGTGGCGTGCGAGACTTGGTGGTGTTGTTTTCGTAGGACGGCTGGCCAAAACGGGGACCTTTTGTGTTGCGTCTTGGGCGTTTTGGGCGCAAAAATAAAGAAGCACACACGAACGATGTCAAAGTCATTCCAGGATTCCAGACATTCACCAAATCGTTCCATGATTCCAGTCATTCCAGGATTTGGGCGTTTTCCCTCTTCACTTCAATTCATTTCCAGGATTAATTTCCAGGATTGCGACGGATGTTTAACAAGTCGACCTGGGCGGGATTGAATTGGACCACCCTGTTGGAACGACGGGTTCTGGTTTGAAGCTCGCTGAGAGATCGACGTGAGACTTGGGAAAGCCGGCCTTTCGAATCTTTTGGTACTTGCAGGATCACATGGGTTAGTAAGTGCTGACCCCAAATAGTGAAGTTGCTAACTTGTTGTGTAAGTGGGTCAGGTTGTGAATAGTGGGTCTTCCAACCAAAAAAACCTCCAAGTAATGATCCTCACAGAAGTTCTAAGACTCCGACGAACACATCACATGGAGAGTGGAGTTCACCACTGTTCTTTTCAACACTCGAGTGTGATCAATCCAAATGGGCGCCCAGCTGGCCCAACAAATCTGTTTGGAAAGTTGATGCCTAGGTTGATTTCTACTTTCCCCTGGCTAAATCCACTTATTGATGTTTGTTCCCCGCCTGTCAGTTGAGGGTTGTTAGATTTTATGTCAGCTGCGTTGCTCCTCCTCCTCCTCCTCTTCCTCCTCCGCCCTCTCCTCCTCCTCCTCCTCCTCGTCCTCCTCCGCCTGCTGAACGGCAAGTGTCGGATAGCAGTGTTCCCCGCCGGACCTCAACCGCCAGCTGGATGGCAGTGTTCCCCGCCGGACTTCAACCGCAAGTGCAGGATGGCAGCCTTCCCCGCCGGATCCCATCCGCGAGCTCCGGCTGGCAGTGATCCCCGCCGGACCTCAACTGCAGGATGGCAGTGTTCCCCGCCGGACCTCAACCGCGAGTCAGAAGATATGCCAGATGGAACGCCAGAAAGAATGTCAGAAGATATGCCAAAGATATGCAAGATAGAAT